CGGCCTCCCGACCGCGTGTGTTTGCGCGTGTAGGATCCACGGGCCGAGCTCCGGGAGCCGTCCCGAGACCTCCCTCTTGGACGGCCCGCCTGGGGCTGCACGGTGTCGGCCCCTCACCGCGCGCGGGCCCGGAGAACGGCTGCTTTGCAGACCCTGCTGTGGGCGGTCTGGCTTATTATTCCCCTTTTTCTGAACTGTTTTGCCCTTTTAAAGGGCAGCAGTAGCTCGCGTCTTCCCTGCTGACGGTAACGTGCTCCGGGGCTTTGTTGTAGGGGTGAGAGTGGGCGGGCAATGAGTGCCCATCAGAGGCGTCCTTGCTGCCTCGGCAATGCGAGTGAACGAACGGACCAGCACCCCTTAGGCTTTCCGGTTGGCTGCTCCTTGTACCTGCTTGCTAGGTCACGTATATTGTTCTGCTCTTGTGAGTCACCCTCCGAGCGACTGAGCTTCTTCCAAGCACCTGCGTATAGAGTTCGGGTGCCAGGCGTCGGGCCTTGAAGCTAGGGATGGAAATGCTGGTCCTGGTAAACCCGTGTGGTTTCAGCTTGAGTTAGCATGATTGGCAGTGGAAATCTGCACCCTCGAGGATCTGTTAGTATCTGATAGAAGTGATGCTTCAGGAGGCTTACTTGTTATTATGATGTCTCTGGAGGCATTGCTGAAGGGACTTGCTATTTATATGATTTATTTATTGCCACGTGAAAAAAGCTTTACTTCTTTTGGGGAAAAGCCTCTGTTGTGTAAAAGGTGATACAGCTATTGGTGCAAATCGGTAGAATGCATGTTTCTCTGATGGTTTTATGTAGTCATGTAACACCGTGTATTAGTAGTTCTCTAACTGTGGTCTTCCGTGATCTGGAACTAAGTGGTCTGTGTGAAGCTACGTAAGGTTTGTGATATTTAAAACTAAATTCTTGATAGGGTACCAGTGGTCTGGAACAAACCCCACGGTTGGCAATGGCATTAAGAATGGGGAGCAAAATAGTTCTGGGAGATAAGGAAGCTTTTAGAAGAGTGAAACTTCCTGCGTTTCTGCACCAGTCTCAAGACAAGGCCAACCCCTTCTGGCATACCTGCTCTTTCGAGCTAGCTTGGTACAGTGTTAGGCCCGAAGAATACTTTTTTCCTTAAAAGAAAGGTGAAAAAGTGATGCAGTTTTAGTGATTAACATTATTTATGCTATGAATATAAAACAGGCATAGGAGAGTTCTGTTCTCTTTTTTTTTTTTTTTTTTTTCCCCCCTCTTTACCTCTCTTTAAGACTTTAGACTTTAGAACAAGTCACTTAACAACAGGTGATTAACTGAAGATCCCTTTGCATTCTGTGAGACTTCACATGTCCTCGGGGACCCACCTGCATTTAACAGACCAGAGTTGGAACGAAGTGTTATCTCTGACTTTTGTGCTCTCCCTTTCTAAAATGGAATACACCGATGTGAGGGCTTTTTCAGCTGAAACTTTAATATACCAGCAGTTCAACTCTGATTTGGTTTGGTTTTGTTTTCATTTTCCCTGTCTTTTTGATTGCTGTCAGCTTCACTCAATCTTTAACGTCTGAAGGTTTTTCTTTTGTAATTTTATTTCTTGCTTTTATCTTGGTCATCCTGGTTTCAGTCTCTCTTGTTTGCATCTTTATGAATTCTTGGGCTTTTTTTCCCTTTGACTCCCTCCTGTTGAATAGAAGCATATATCTGTGAATCTGACTTACGGGTTAATGCAAGCTAGGATGTAACATTTTATTCGAAGAGGTTGTTACACTGGGGTGAGCTCCAAACAATTGGTTTGCTCAAATAAATAAACAAGTGACTGCTCCTTATTCTGGACAGTTGTCAGCTTGTACTTAACCAATAACAATGTGTGTTAAAATAGTTATGCCTATTACGATTAAAGATGAGAAGTTCAGTAGTATTTGAATTTAGTATTCCAGCAGTAGTTTTGTTTCATTTTAGGATCTGTTTAGAGTATAGTTTTGCCTCTTGGGGTTCTTAAGTATACTATGGGGTTTTTTGAGGTTTGGGGTTTTTGTTACCAGGAAAGTCTACTGAAATACAAGAAGGGGTTAATTAAAGATGACTGAAAATATGGCCTCATAACCTCTGAAGTATGGCTGGTTTCTAGATGGTGCTTCTAGATGGTGCTTCTAGATGGTGCTTCTAGATGGTGCTTCTAGATGGTGCTTCTAGATGGTGCTTCTAGATGGTCCATGTGAAATTTGTTAATCTTTATTTGTAGGTAATTTTATTGTTAACTGTGAGTTTCTATATTGTAATTATCTGAAGAATGCTTTTGAAGTGTTGTTTTGTTGTTATTGTGAAATATTAGTGTAAATGTAATAATTTCCTGTTAAATGTAAGTCTAAAGAGGAGTAATTTGCTAGTTCAGCCTTTTAGTCTTCAAATCCTGCTTTTCACACAGGCCCTGTTAATATTTTCAGTCAGAATATTAGTGTGGTTTTCCTTTCAGTATAAACAGGCCTTGCATTTGTGAAGGAGTGTAATGGCTGAGACTTTGCTTTAGGTTAATAGATGAGATTCAGCTGGTGAAAAATCAGTAAAATATAGTTACCAGTCAGCCAGGGATAGACCTTGTGGGTACACTCTGTATTTGTTGTGTAATGTGGGGTGTTTAACATAATTCATACAGTAACTTCATTAGTACTGATAAGGGGTTTTGTTTTTTGTTTTCTTTTAAATCAAGTAATTGATGGAAGTCTTAACACAATTCATGCTTCTACTTCTTAAAGGTGTTATTTTGAGGATGACTGATCACTGGGAATGTGTTTTCCTGTAATTCTCTTTTCCATATCCCTTCTTTTTTATTTTCATTACAAGCATAAGTCGAGATTTTTTTCGACCGAAGTGGGGCAAGATTGTCGAATTTGTGAATTCGATTTATGTTCACAAATCACTAGGTGGCAGTACTGCTGTTATTTCCACCTAGTTGCACTTGCTTCAATTTGCCTGCTCTTTTGTCCTTAAGTTTCCTAATACAAAATATTCTAGTTAGCAAGGAGGCCCAAAAGTGACTCAAGTTAGGCTGAATTTTTGAGGTGCTGCTTGCTGCAAATTCTGTGCTTGTGGATTGGACTGTGAAGACTTCCTGGTATTGCTCGTTTTGGTTTTTTTTTAAATCACTGCAAAGAAAAATCAGTTCCACACCCATCAGTCATTAACGATTTTTAGTCTGATCTTACTGGAGAACTTTTTTCCTGCAAATCCCCTAAGGGAAGCTGGAAATTCTCATTGGAAACTTTGTTGAGGACTGAACACTGTTAAAGACTGGATTGCTTGGGGTTTTCCCTGCTGTGTTCTTCCACCCCAGTGCTTCTCTATTTCTCTCATATAATTGGTTTCAGGTAGGCCATTTATATTCAAGTGTTAAACCATATATCCCGTAGGATCGTTTTTACACCTTTTGCCCCCCCGCCCCCCTTGTTTTTGCATGTTTGGGATTGCTGTTTCTGTTTAATGCTTTCTTAACTCTTCTCTTCGTAAAGTTAATAGAGAAGAGAAACTATAGCGTTGTTTACATTTCTACACTAATTCCTAACTTTCCACATCAGGTTACTTTTGGGAAGGTTGTTTGTTCCCTTCCCCCCAGCTCCCAGCTTTAATAGCTCTGTGAAGCTTTGAAAAAGCTTTGCACAGAGTTTTTCAGAATCTGCTCTGTGGAACTTTTTAAGTCATTCTGCATGGCCGCAGTATTTCTTTCAAGTAGCAAGTACCTCTCAGTAGTTTTTAATCGTGGCATTAGGTGAAACTGAGCAGCAGATTAAAAGAGCCTTGGTAAAATGTTTCTAGGAGGTTTTGGCCAGTTGATTACTTTAGTTGCACAATGGAAAATTCTTTCCTGCTTTGCACTGTATAATTGGAAGAAGGACTCTAAAAATACTTCTGTGAGGAGCAATGTAAATTCCTGTAGCTTGATTACAAGATGGAATTTTATTGTAGATTCTTTCAGTTAGTGAAGTTTAACAGAAGGCTGTGCAGTACCATTCAAAGGGATGATGAGGTGTACACATTCTGCAAGGATAGTATGTTCCCAGACCAGGCAATTATTGACCCTTTCTTCCCATCTGAAGAGAAGCTTTTAAATTAGTTGAAGAGGTACAGGGAACCTAAAATCCCTCTGTCATAAGAGTTTTCATGGAGAGTGTTGCACATAAACCAGGCCTACTTGCATTCTGAGGCTGGACTAAACCGTTTAATCCCAAATCACTATGCAAAGTTATCTGGTTTGTCAGAGGGACTACAGTTTCTCCTATGGGATTATAAATGCTTTCATTTGGTTTTGAGACTCTGTAAGCCTACCGAGACTAATACTGACATCCTACTTCCCGGATTTTTCAATTTGGTAACAATAGTAATTTTTCCTCCATATTAAATCTAAGAGTTGTATATGCATTTAAAATGACAGCGAGGCAATGAGGCTTGGTTTGGGTTGTTGGTTTTTGTTTTTGTTTTGGTTTGTTTTTTTTAGGAGAGGAATACCCCTCTTTTGTAAATGGACTTCTTTTTGTATACATGTGGGTATTTTTACTCAACATATTATTTAAGCCTTTTGCTCTGTAAATTGTTGAAGGGAATAAGCTGGCAGTTCTTGGTAGCTGCTGCTGATATGGTGAAATTATTTGAGTCTGTTTTTCATACATCTAATTATACAGGATTTTTATTAAAATTCCCTTCTGAATTGTTACCTCAGGGAGTGGTACAAATCATTGCTGTCGATTGTACCACACTTGGGAGGAAGCAGGGGGTTTTTGTGTTCTCTAGGTGTTCATTAAAGTCTTAACTTTTTTCCCTCTCCTTTTCTTCTCCTAAGCCCTTTTACATTAATTTAATCAGCATACAGCTTTACTTTCCTAGAAGTAGTATATTTTAAATGTTTACCCAAAGTTGTTAAAAGATACTTACAACATAACCTTCAAAATAAAAGCCAAAGTTTTTGATTACTTCTGATGGTGTCACCAGAGCGTTATAGTATTTGGATTTTACAAGTAAATGTCTGTACTGTAAAACATCTTCAGTGTAGATTAATTACAGTGTAATTTTATTCAAGTTGGAAGTGAATTTCCGCTGGTTTCATTTGCCTTTTCTGAAGGTTTGTTTAGCTGACCTCACAGTGCTTCTGCTTTAAGGTGGGCAAGGTTAGAGTTTTGGTCGCAGACTCAGGACTCCTGGGCTGCCATGTATGCCATGGTTCGTGGTGTTCAGCAAGGTGCTTGCATTCGGGTGTGATGCTGCGGAGCATCTGCTGAGCCCGAGGGTGCTGCAGCTTCTTGGGTAGCTGGTGGTTCTTTGCTGCTGGAAGGCTTCCACTCTCTCTGGCCTCTTGCCACATTTTGCATCTTGTCAGGTGTCAGTGCTGAAAGCAATGGGTCCTTCTTATGTGAGTTACTACAGCTCAGTAATGCAGCAACATACTGCCCCGTAGTTAAGTTTTTCTTGCAATGGGATGTAGGTTTTGCAGTGTGCATTTACTTTTCTATTATTACTCATCTAAGTAGCATGAGTATATATTGGAAGCATTAACTGGGCATACAGAGTAAGGTTTTTAGAAAGAGACTTGGAGTTTGAGGTATTATGACAGAGCTAAAAATAAAGGGAAGATACAGGAGACATACATGAGACATACTGGATCATTATGTACTTTAGAACAGTCAATTTTTTCATATTTCTAGAGTTGGCATTTGAATTACCTGCTCTGTTCACGAATGTAAATCCCTGTGTTGTGGCCTCTACATTCTAATTTAAGAGCTTTTCCCTTGTTTCTCAAGATACACTTTTTGTGCTTTGTTTTGTTTTGTTTTGTCTTTTTCTCACAGCTTTTCATAGCTGAAGGAAAATGATGGAGGAGAGTGTAATAGAGACAACTCCACCTGGCACGCCCTCACCAAGCACAGCAGGGGCTGCTGCTGCTACACCCATCTCATTAGGTACAGAAATTTAGCAACTTGGTAAGGTGTATTCATGTCTTTTGAAGTACAGCAGTTCCTCCAAAACCGTTGCAATCAGTGTAATTACAGTGCTCTTCTCCAGACTAATTGGAAGAATTTAAATTGTTTCTTAGTCATGGAAGTCCGCTTCTTATCTGACATGTATCTTACACACCAATTATTTTAAACATTTTTTTATTTTGAAACTTTTTAATGAAGTCATGTGGATGCATTTGTGTTTTTTAAGGATGTGGGGTCAGGGAAATAATACCTCCCACTACAGTACACAGTTAGATGAGCAACACAGAAGGCAGTTAAAAACAAAACAGATTTACAGCCTTGTAGAGAATAATGGTAAACCTGGGTAATCACTTGGTTTTTAATGTAGATGGTAATCAAACCACTTTGATTTTTCATCTGAACACCATATACCAATACCAAATACTTAATTTTCTGACACATCTGGTATTGTTATATTGTCACACTAGTGCAGTGAACTCCAAAGTGGGATGCCCTTAACCTAGGGGTGTGCAAGGCAATCCATTGGGGTGCAGGAAGAAAATATTAGAAGTATTAATATTTTTTTAATCTAAAAAAATAAGAAAGAAATTAAGTTTTACTAATATTTAGCTTACTGCTTGACATTGGTGTCCTCACTCAGTTGGTCCATCCGTTGGACATTCCCATGTCCTGAGGGAAGAGTGGGTGTTCATGAAGCAAAAGGGTTGATAGTGGCACCCTCACTCATTTGCTCACTTTCATCATATTGTGACACATTACAGTTTAATTTATAAATAATTTTACATATGTTGGGGGGTTGTGTGCTCAAAAACTTGTTACTGTTAGGTGTGTATGTGATAAAGTTTGGAGACCAGTGCATTAGTGCAACTTGGCATATTGTTTGACTGTCATTGATGTTTAGGCTGAGGCTAGTGAGATGCTTGAGCTGATCCAACAGCTTACTACTATACAAAAATGGTAATTTCTGTGTTTCTGACTTAATTCTCTGGCTAAACTTTGTATAGAGAGCAAAATTGGCTTACCCAAGGATCAGCTGAGGGCCAGACTGAAACAGGTATTAGGATGCTGGGTGCCAGGGAAGAGAGGGCTGCCTGGTGCTCATTTCATCTCATCTCACCTCACAGAACCACACCTCTGAAGTAACTCCCACCCTCGCAGATATTATGAGTATATGCTTTATTCTTAAAGATGGGTACTTCCTGCATCATCATTATTCCTGTTAATTAAACAGTCACTCAGAAAGAGCAGAACTAGTTAGAAATTTCTGAGGTAGACTTCAGCTGCGATAACATTGATTCGTCTTGTTAAGCTTATCAGAAATAGAGTAATGCAAAAGTAAGAGATGTGTCTTGCAAGATACTCTCACCAAAAAATGAGCACAATTGATGTTGGATGCAAACTCAAGCAGAAGTAAAATTCACTTTGAAGGGAAAAAAGCAGATCAGGTCAAAACTTACTTATAAAATAGCTGAACAATTATATCTCTGAGATTAAGACACAGCATTTCTAAAACTCACTTTTTTCTCTTTTTTCCTAGCTTTGCCTAGTCCCCTTGCTACACCAAGCATGTCATCTTCTCCCACATACTCACCGCCCTTGCCAGCTGGACTGTCTCCACTTCCTCCTCCTATGATGACTTCAGCTTCTCTGCCACTTGTGCCTTCTGCAACGGTTTCTACTGCTGCACCACCTCCAATTCCTGCCCCACCTCCTGTTTCCCCTTCAACTTTTGGTACCTCCATGTCCCAGTTCTCTACACCTTCTCCATTAAGCTCTACTACAAGCCCTGCACCTCCCACTGGTCCCCCCATTTCAGGATTTTCTATGTCTTCAACCTATGACATTACAAGAGGTCATGCTGGTCGAGCACCACAGAGCCCGCTGATGCCATCATTTTCTGCACCTCCAGTCACCGGTAACTTTTCACTTATATGCTTTCTTGTTTGTGAGCCAGGGTGAGGGATCCCCTGGGTGGCTTTTTCTACCACTTTAGAGTCCTGAAAGTTCAGCTTCTTTATTATTCTGGGTACACTTAATTAATGTAGCTGCATGGAGAAAAAGGGAGAGTAGCCTTTAAAGTACAGTCATAGTCTAGGACGGAGAGTCTTTGTTAGTAGAGTTCTGCTAGCATTCAGGCTCACAGAAAAATCTTTGTTTGAGAGCCTTACTTTTTGTTATCTTGCACAGGAAAGCCCAGCTAAACATACATATACACACAGCTATCTTTTGTTTAGATTAGAGAGTCAACTTCAGCCATTATGTTTTCACAGAATGATAGGATACCTCAGGCTGTGTTCTCGTAATTTTCAGGTTTTTGTTCTGAAAAGCTGTCTGTAACAAGCTGACAGTCACATGACACCAGCTTCTCTTTTCTTGTTTCCAGACACTAAATTTGCATTAGGACAGCTAAAAATACATACCTTCCATGCAAGCATTTGCTGAACTGATGTAATTTTCTGCTAGTGGAATGGAAACTTGGCTCTTCAGCTGCACTTGGGCCAGGCTTTTGCTATTATTGGTGGTATCTCTTTTAAGTAGTCTGTGTTAGGAAAATGTCTAAAAAGGCCTATCAGTTTTGCAGTGTGAAATAAAAATAAATCTTGATTAAAGCTAGTGTTGAAAAATCTGTTAAAACACGCTTGAGTAATGGGGCAAAGGCTCATACTTAAAATTTTCTGCTGTTTGAGTTTCTTTTTTTTCCTTTAAAATATGTAAAGCTATTCATTTGTTTGCTCCTTTTTCTATTGCTACTTAATTTCCAGCACTCAGAAAGTTTCCTACTTCTGTCTCTTGTTATGTATGAGAACACTCCTATCTCTTTGTTCAGAGAGCAACACCCATTCCTCTTTTTCCTCTACCAAAGGCTTATTATGAAAATCCGAATACAGTAAAAAGCACCAATGTTAAAATAACCTGCTAAGAAAAAAATCATTGTTTAATTTTGTACATAATGTGCAGGCAGTCTCAGTTCTATTAGCAGATATTGTTGAACTCATTTACAGTAGTTATATCTGCAAACCTTTAACAATCAGAATTGTTTGGGGACCTTCAAGAAATAAAGTGAATCAGCCCCATATTCTTCTATTTTTCCAGCTCATTTTCCTGTTAAACAGTTGCATGTTGCCACAGTATAACAAGTTAAGGGCAGTAAAATAAACAAACACTTGTGGTTTATTTTTCCCTCTTACTAGGTGTTTTGGCAGATCCTATTACTCAACAAGCAACTTTCTCATCACCTTTGGCTCCTGGAACTGGTTCTGCAATCACTTTTCCTGAGGAGCATGAAGACCCCAGAGTATCTACTGCCCAAGCTGGAGCACCTGCTGGAGGACTGTGGGGGTTTATAAAGGTATGGGGTTTTGTCTGTTATGCTTCATGAGGATTTACCATTTTTTACTGACTATAGTAAGACATGTCTTCTAAATGCATGTTGCTATAAATCCTATAAACCCTGTCTTTTCTTCAGCCTCATGTGCAAAGTGGCTGTTTTTAATGATATTTGCTGAAACTATGCTTTTGTTCTTCCTTGGTATAGAATAGGGAGGACTACACAAATGCAGGTGTTCTTGGTTGGTTTTAGTGCTTGTGAGATGAGGGTAGGCATACATAACAGTTTCTATCATATTTTTTTAAATCAAGTGAAGCTTTAGAACCAATTTAAGACCTGAAAGCTAATTTTTACTTCACAGCGACTGAATACAGAAAAAGATAGTCTTTTTTTTACCTCTTCAGAATTCTTTGCATATCCTGTTTCTTTATCATTTCCTAATGAACTGTCTTTGGTATTGATGGGGTGCAAGTCCTGCCTATTCTATAACAAGCGTCTTCAAGGAGAGACAAATATATACTTCTTCCACCAAGGAACAGTTTACCTAAAATGTGTCTAAGATGTTTTGTAGGATTTTTCTATTCTGCTAGAAGGCATGGAGTATACAGTGCACAACAGATACTATCCCTGTGCTGTGATTTCTGCATGATTAGGAAATAAGCAGCAACATCAACTAGTAGAATTTCATTAACTTTTTGAAGCTGTGACAAATGCTACATATAAGTAGCATCGTTAGGATTTTGGCAAAAAGATCTAAGGACAGCGTATGAATGCTGAACCATCTGCAAGAGCAACACCTTTTTCTGTACTGTCTCATACTAAACGTGAAGCAAGAATCAAAAAGATTGGTGTCCCAGTGGGCTTGCAGAGTTTTGGACTTTCAAGCCCTTTTGAACATGAAAAGCTGGAAGAAAAAGTTGTGTGTGACATGGCAGACTGAGCTCTCCCTTACTCCAGTAATGCTCTTAAAGAGCAAGATTAATCCTCCATTGCTACTGTGAGAGCACAGTTATCTTGCTGCCATTTTCAAGAAGTCTTCTCATGATCATAAAAACACATGTGTTTTCTTTCTTTAAATAATAATGTTCTTCTCTTGGTCATCATTTTCCTCTTTGCAATAGATGGTAATATTCCAGAAGAGAACATTTTTTCTTGTAACATGATTCTGTATTCCTTTTGAAAGTACCAGACCTTGCAATTGCAAAGTAGTTGAAAAGCCAATTTCATCCACATTACTGTTGCCTTTATACTAGTGAGATCAAAGATGTCTCTTATTTCTATTTATGGAGAAGTTCTATATCATTGACTTCAATAATTAAATCTAGATTTTGGTTGAAGTACTAACTGTTCCTTGTGCTCTCTGTGTTTAGTGACTTCTTTTTGAGAATTTCATAGGTGGAAGTATGAGGAATCACTAATTATACTGAAGCCACTGAAGCCATTTTTTTCCTAATGTGTGTAAGCACACATCTTACTCTGTGTTTTTTAAAGATCAGCGAGAATCTGGGAAACTAGCTGGTAGTAATTTCAGAAGTGCATTTTGGATTCCCTGTTGAAGAGCTTACACAGTAGTTGCAGTGGTTATCTTTATTTCTGTTCTTGAAATAATTTGAATTACCTATTTTCCTCTGATGTTCCTAAGAAATTATACACATTTCTTCCAGATTTCCTTAAAGCTAGTTAATATTCAAGACTGTGACAATCTAAAATTGACAAATTAATGGTCCAGAATTGGATAAGACTCTTTCAATTCCTTTGATCTGTCAAAGATGGCTGGACAGTCTTGTAACACTTCCAAAACTGTTTTCTACGTGATATATCAGAGGCAAAGTTGGATAATATTGCTGTTGTTGTGCCTCATAGCTTGCATATTTGACTGTTTGAGCAAAGAAGACAACCAGGACCTGAATTTTCAAAAACTTTGTGTCTGCTGATGTGGAAGATTCTCCATTTGAGCAATTTGGATTTATGCTGACTTAGAATTGACTTTGTAGAAATTTCAGACAGCTGCATTATGGTTCACAGTGTTGTGCTAACTTCATGTCTTGCATTGGTATAAAAATGTGGATTATTTCTCCCTACTTGTGTTAGGTTGATGAACATAGACAGAAAAAGCTACTTGCTGCTCAGGAACCTGATTATCTGCAGGAGATGTATAATGACTTCCTGTTAGTTAGGCAGCCAGGCTACTGATTGGAGAACTATTCCTTGGCTTTGTGTTACTAGAAAGATGCCAGAACTGGAAATTCCTACTTAAAATGTCTGAGGATCTCAGAGCATTCACTCAGTTTCTGTTAGAACTGCAGATAAAATTGTGAGAGAGCTGAGGGAGACATATAAACTTCCCTGTTCTTGATGCCATCCCGTGGGTACATGAGTAGTTTATTCAGTGAATACTGCCATTCAGAAAAGTCTTGGGTTACATTAATGTGAAACAAGTGGCTACAATGGGCTCTGGCTTGAAAAAGTTTAATTGTACTAGAGTGAATAATTGGGTCTTTACTGCAGTCAGGCTTAGTGTTCTGCACAGTAGTGAGAAGAGTACCTGAATACAGTAGTGAACTGTTTCAGTGTGAGGCATGGTATAAGATAATCATTATTAGTAGCTACAAAATATCTCAGTAGTTGTAGAAGTGTGGGGATTTTTTTTCTTTAAGCTTACTACAAAGAAATATAAAGCATTCAAAGGCTGGATGGGACTTCAAGCAACCTCATCTAGTGGAAGGTATCCCTGCCTGTGGATCTTTAACATCTGATCCAAGCCATAATATTCTATGATGAGAAAGAAGCTTTTGCTGAGCAAAAGTTACTCTGAGATGATTAAAACTACTTTGATTCTGCAGTTCTCTGAAGTACTGTATAGATATATTAAGCAAACACTTTCTGGAAAAATGTATGAGCACAATGCTGTCCTGTTTAATGCTTGTTTAGTGAAACAAATACAAGTATATGCATTTTAATATTAGACTGAAAGCAGTCTCTTTATTAAAGAAATTTTATAAATGTTTCTGTGAAATAGTTTCCATTGCTTTATCTCTGAGTGATTCAGCATTGATGTCTTTCTTCTTTTACCCTGTGATCTTATCTGAATTTAAATAAACTTTTGATGAGATACAGACATTCATTAAGATTATTTGCAGGACAGAGTGTTAAATATAAACACAGTGTTTGTGTTTATATTTAGTGAACTTTTAGGTCTGTCAGCAGCTCCACCTAGGATTTGACTGGAGAATGAAGAATATTTTTCCAGCAATGTTTAGAAGAATCTATTTATAGATTGAAGACTTTCAGCAAAATTGCTCCAGAAATATTTGTTAGTAATGGGCCATTGAAAAGCAGATTCTGTTCTCTTTAAGAAGGTTAGAAAAAAGACAGTCTTCCACTTGATTCATCACAGTCTAAAACTAACTACCTAGTCTGATGATATCTATAATTAGCATTGAGAATCTACAACTTTGTGAAATGATCAAGGCTTGCAGTCCACAATACAACCAGGTCAAGTGTGTGGCTCACCATCACCAATGGGGATATTTCTGCGTTAATGCAGAAGAGGATGGTGAAAATGATATTTGAATGCACTTATAGTCATATCCTGTAGCATTTTTGTTGACGAGTGACGTACAATAGGTGTTACAAAATGTAAATGTGGTAAGAAAAAGACAAAGCAGTTTAATATTTGGGTTTTCTTTGATTGGTTTTTAACTGTAACATTTTGAGTCTGTTGGGAAAGAAAACAGACAATAATACAGAAATCTGTTTGCTTAAAATTTAGGGTGTAGCTGAGAATCCCATGGTGAAGTCTGTTCTTGATAAAACCAAGCATTCAGTGGAGACTATGATCACAACGCTGGATCCTGGCATGGTTCCATATATCAGTAAGTATTGGTGACAAAGTATTACATAGTTAGAAAGGTTGATATAATAGCACACTACTTCTACACTTGAAGTTTGTGTATGTAGTGTGTTAATTCAAAGTCACAGAACTGTACTGAATTCTCAAGTGTATTGTCCAGTGAAACTTTCACACTGGAGGCTGACTTTTTATGTGTGTCTTGAGGTTGATTTGACTTTTGTATTCCACTACAGTTCAGATAATGACATAGTAATACCTTTTAATTCATATTGTGAAAGATGAGGAAGTTTTAAAGAAATAAAAACAATGAAGAGACCTTGTCTGTGTGGTCCCTGCTGGGACTGGAGACCACGTTGCCGTTGCCCCCCCCCCAAGCCGGTCAGGCTGGAAGTGAGGCAAAACCCCGGGTTAGAATAAGAAGAAATTTAATACAACAGTGTGATTAAGCAGTCTGAACAAAACAGTAGTGATGACAAAAACAATAAACAGCAATAACAGTAAACAAGACAAAAGATATACAGAGAAATACCGCATTGGTTACAGACAGCTCGCTCACATGCTCCCTGTGACCAAAGCCACAAAGGAAAACTGCTGCGCAGGGACCTGATGTCAGCATGGTATGAATAACCTGACTGGAGATCCCTTCCCCCTCTCTGCTGGGGAAACTTAACCCTATCCTAGCTGAACCAGGACATAATCCACCCCTTTATTCTATACCATCTGCATCATGTCCAGCTGCCATTTAGCAGTTAACAATAACAAAATAACAATTTACAAAGGCACAGCATAGTTCACGGCATGTTCTCACCCAGAATCAAGTCCCCCTGTGGTACGCATCGGACCTCTCCATTGTCCTGCATTACCCACCAGTAAGTACACCCAGGTCCTTGAGCAAAAGCAATCCCGTGGATTGGTTTGCCTTTACCTTTGCCTGGCACAGGACTAAACCAGACCATTTTTCCCAATATATTCCTCATGTGCACCACAGGGACTTTATCCCCATCTACAGCACGTGGAGGTTTTGACTGAGCTGGGCCAGCTTGACTGGCAAATCCTCTTGTGTTGTCTAGCCAGGTGGCCTTTGCTAGATGCATGTCCCAGTCTTTGAAGGTGCCACCTCCCAATGCTTTCAATGTGTTTTTTAACAGTCCATTGTAGCTCTCGATCTTTTCATAGGCTGGTGCGTGATAGGGGCTATGGTAGACCCACTCGCGGTTCTTCTGCCCAAGCATTTATGAGGTTTTGGAAGTGGGTCCCGTTGTCTGACTCACTTCTCTCTGGGGTGCCGTGTCACCAGAGGACTTGGGTTTCAAGGAACAGGATGGTGTTCTGGGCAGTGGTGTGGGGCGCTGGGTAAGTTTCCAGCTATCCAGTGGTTACTTCCACCATTACGAGCACGTGGCGCTTCCTGTGGCGGGTCTGTGGCAGTGTGATGTAGTCGATCTGCCAGGCCTCTCCATATCTATATTTCAGCCATCGCTCTCCATTTCGCTGGGGCTTCACCCGCTTGGCATGTTTGATTGCAGCAGACATCTCACATCCATGGATGATCTCTGCAATGGTGTCAATGGTGAGGTCCACCCCTCGATCTCGAGCCCACCTGTATGTTGCATCTCTGCCTTGATGGCCCGAGGTCTCATGGGCCCACCGGGCTATGAACAGTTCACTTTGCGCTGCCAGTCCAAGTCCACCTGAGCCACTCTAATCTTAGCAGCTTGGTCTGCCTGCTGGTTGTGTCGATGTTCATCAGTGGCCCGACTCTTGGGTACATGGGCATCCACATGGCACACCTTCACAACGAGGTTTTCCACACGGGCTGCAATGTCCTGCCATACTTCAGCAGCCCAGATGGTTTTACCCTTACATTGCCAGTTGTTCTGCTTCCATTGCTGCAACCATTTCCACAGGGTATTCACCACTGCCCACGAATTGCTGTAGAGGTAGAGCCTTGGCCACTTTTCCCACTCAGCAATATCCAAAGCAAGCTGGATGGCTTTCACCTCTGCAAACTGGCTCGATTCACCCTGTCCCTCAGCAGCTTCAGTGACCCATCATGTGGGACTCCATACAACAGCCTTCCATCATCGATGTTTTCCCACAATACAAGACCCATCAGTGAACAGGGCATATCACTTCTCATCCGGCAGCTTATTATATGGTGGGGCCTCCTTAGCACGTGTCACCTCCTGGTCTGGTGACATCCTGCAGTCTTTGCTCTCTGGCCAGTTCGTAATCACCTCTAGTATCCCTGGGCGGCTGAGGTTCCCTATTCGAGCCCGTTGTGTTATCAGCGCAACCCATTTACTCCATGTGGCATCGGTTGCATGATGTGTGGAGGAGGCCTTTCGTTTGAGCATACACCCTAGCACCGGCAGTCGGGGTGCCAGGAGGAGCTGTGTTTCAGTGCTGACCACTTCTAAGCAGCCCAAACTCCTTCGTATGCTGCCAGTATCTCCTTCTCAGTTGGTGTATAATTAGCTTCAGAGCCTTTGTATCCCCAGCTCCAAAAGCCTAGAGGTTGGCCTCAGGTTTCCCCAGGTGCTCTCTGCCAGAGGCTCCAGGTAGGGCCATTCTCCCCAGCTGCGGTGTAGAGCATGTTCTTAACCTCCTGCCCTTCTCGGACTGGCCCGAGGGCTACTGCTTGGGCAATCTCCTGTTTAATCTGTTCAAAGGATTTGGGGCCCCATTCAAAATCGTTCTTCTTACGGGTTACGTGGTAGAGAGGGCTCACAATCAGGCTGTAGTTTGGGATGTGCATCCTCCAGAACCCCACAGCGCCCAGGAATGACTGAGTCTCCTTTTTAGAGGTTGGTAGGGCCATGGCTGTTATCTTGTTTATCACCTCCATTGGGATGTGGTGATGCCCATCTTGCCATTTTATTCCTAGGAATTGAATTTCCCTTGCAGGCCCCTTAACTTTCTTTTGCTTAATGGCAAAGCCGGCCTTCAGGAGGATTCCAATTATCTTCTTCCCTTTCTCAAAGGCTTCCTTGGCTGTGTCCCCCCATACAATGATGTTATCAAGGTACTGTAGGTGTTTTGGAGCCCCACCTCTCTCCAGTGCAGTATGGACCAGTCCATGGCAAATGTTGGAGCTGTGGTTCCACCCCTGGGGCAATCGATTCCAGGTGTGCTGGATGCCGCTCCAAGGGAACGCAAACTGTGACCTGCACTCTGGCGTTATTGGAATGGAGAAGAACACGTTAGCAATGTCAGTCACGGCGTACCACTTGGCTGCCTTCGACTCCAGTTCATACTGGAGCTCCAGCATGTCCGGCACTGCAGCACTCATTGCTGGTAACTTCATTCAGGCCACGGTAGTCCACAGTTAGCCTCCATTCACCATTAGGCTTTCTCACTGGCCATATAGGGCTGTTGAAGGGGGAGTGAGTTTTGCTGATCACCTTCTGGCTTTCTAGTTGACGGATCAGCTGATGGATGGGGACCAGGGAATCTCGGTTGGTGCGGTACTGCCGCCGGTGCACTGTTCTGGTAGCAGTCGGCACTCGTTGCTCCTCAACCTTAAGCTGCCCCACCACTGAGGGATCCTCTGAGAGGCCGGATAAGGTGGACAATTGTTCAACCTCCTCCAGGGCAGCTACACCAAAAGCCCACCGGTACCTTTTTGGGTCTCTGAAGTACCCTCTCCTGAGATAGTCTATGCCCAGGATGCACGGGGCATCTGGGCCAGTCACAATGGGGTGCTTATGCCAGTCCTTCCCAGTCAGGCTCACTTCAGCTTCCAGTAGGGTCAGCTGTTGGGATCCCCCTGTCACTCCAGAGATGCAAATGGATTCAAGCCCACTGTAGCTCAATGGCATCAGGGTGCACTGTGCACCAGTGTCCACCAAAGCCTTATGCTCTTGTCGGTCTGACGTGCCAGGCCATTGGATCCACACTGTCCAGTAAATCCGATTATCCCTTTCCTCCACCTGGCTGGAGGCAGGGCCCCTCTAATCCTGCTCATCATCACTCACTTCTTGAAAGAATGATTTACTGGTCCCCTCAAGAGGGTCAGACATAACGTTCATCATTCTATTCTGTCTGGGGGATTTCTGACTGGACACTGGAGCTGTGCTCTTCTTGGAGGACTTCCTTTTAGTGATGGTCTTCCCTTTCAGCTGCTCTGCTCATGCAGCGAGGGCAGCAGTGGGCTGTCCATCCCACCTCCTCATGTTTTCTCCCTGGTTGCAGAGGAAAAAACCACAGGGTGCCTCGTGGTGTGTGCCTTCTGCTGCCTTTCTCCTGGGTGGGGAAACATTTACTTCTAATGGCTGAGACATCAGCTCGTGCAGGTGGAATGTAGGACATGTCCTCTTCCATCTTCTGGAGCCTTTAAGACAGTTCCTCCACAGCTGAGACCCAGGAATGTTGAGATGAAGGGAGATTTCCTTCATATTGCCAGAGCTTGCCAACCACTCCATCCACTGTTAGAGTGTGGGTGTCTGTCCACCAGGACACTATTGCCAATGCTTTCAAGTGTGCTTCTGGTGCACTCTTCAGGAACTTTAGCCACATCAGGTGTGTGCAAGGGGCTTGATCTGTGTCCATGGGTGACTGCTCATCATTCAGATCACCATAGATCATCTCAAACACAGCCAGTTCCCTGAGATTCTGAATGCCCTTCTCAATGTTGGTCCATTTACTAGGCTGACATAGGATATCATCCTTGTAGGAGTACCTCTCCCTTACACTGAGCCGGAGTCGCTTCCAAAGGCTGAGGGTTTGAGTCTGTTTCCCTATTTCCCTATCAATGCCAGCATCCTTGGCCAAAGATCCCAGCTGCTTGGTCTCTCTCCCCTCCATTTCAAAAGCACTGGCTCCATTGTCCCAGCATCAGAGCAGCCAGGTGCAAATCTGCTCGCCTCCCAGGTGGCCAAAATCTTTCCGCATATCTCACAGCTCAGTCTGGGATAGAGATCGGACGATCACCACTGGCCCTTCCTCCTGTTCCCCTGATGGGCCTGGCTCATCCTCATCCCCCACTTTGCGAGCTGACTTTCTGGTATATTTTGTTTTCTG